CTGAAAGGATTTTCGTGCACGCGAGGCTATTCTGTTCAGGCAATGGCCGTGATAACGTAGAGATAACAGTCGACATGCGAGCGAAAATAACGATTAGAATAAATGCAGATCAACCACAACAATTCATGGTTTACAATAAGAAGCGACATAAAGTAATTCTGATAAAGGTTGGCAACAATAGTCAGATAGGTTGACAGCATCGAAATTGAGAAAAAGCAAAAATATGATTGATTGGCTTGTAAACTCGTAGCAAAGATGAAATGCAGAACGAAAATAATCCCTTTTGTGTTGACTTCGCATGGGATAGTGACGAAATTCTCACGTAACGTTCACACCGAGGCATATATTCAATTGATAGTGCTCAAAAAGACATTCGAAAGCATCTCATTCGATCAACTCCATGGATTTTAGGAGGATGAAGCAATGGATACTAGCTCAGCAGAACTGAGCGCAGCTAGAATGCCCAAACACGTTCCAGCTTCAGAATCGATGAAGTATAAAAGACGATTAACCTGTGTGTGACATTGGTTATATATATTTATTCACTCCATAACTTTTTAGGTTACTCTTGGAGTAAGAAATTGTAGAGAAGTCACAATAACGGCTCCAACAACACCGGATGAGATTACGGGTGTACTTTTTAATTCGTGCCCAGAAAATGAACCTCAAGCCGCAGTTTTGCAACAGGAGCTAATCATCGCATGTTCGGATTTAGTATGTTCTTTTTTTTAGTGGTTCATTATGTTATTCTGAGTAAAATCTTCCGAAATGTGAAAATACTTGTCTTAAGTGGTCAATTGAGAAACTCATTCTTTTTGATCATTACTTTGTGTTTCATCCTTTTTTTGCTCATTCTAGTACTTATGGGCGAAGTTATTTTGTCTATAGAGGAGGAACCAAATTGACATTATTTTATATACTTGCATTTTGCTTTGTACTCACTATAGAATAATTCGCATCTTACCTTCTAAGTTGTAAAATCTTATCAAAACTGTGGAATTATTCATCATGCAAAAACAACGCAATTGTTTTTGCAGAATTATTGTTGAATGATGTGAATGGTTCCTTTGCTTAGGATACATTTCATAATTTTATTCATTTTAGATTGCCCAAAAGCCGTTTGCATTTGATGGTGTACTGACAATCCGACTTTCTTGGTTAGCAGATGCCATATCCTTGATGCTGAATTATATGCAAAGTACAGGGAACATCAGAAAAGACTCGGTTATTGGAAAACTAAATTTGTCATTGTCATGCACATCAAGTATTCACACAAGTAAGTGCGTGGAGTTGTAGCTCTTTTCTTTTTGATTTTAAGATTGCTCACTATTTCACATATGTACTGTTATACTTAATTTGCATACATCTCATGGGGCATTCTTATCAAAATTCAGAATGTTTCGTAAAATGAACTGTTCGTTCCATTACTGATATAGTGTGATTTAAAATGCATACAGGCGTAGTTCACATTCATTGATCATTGTGTTCTAAATGTTCTAGGTTTTATTACTCAAACTTAATATTTATTTTGTTTCATTAATAGCAATAGGATTAGTGGGAATCTCGCATAGTGAGTGTTTGGCATCTCATGTTCATGGAAATAATTTTGTGAAGAATTTAATTAGCTCAAGACGACCATTCTTAGTTTTTATGTATTATATGTATCGCAACTGTTCAACTCACTGCTTTCTAGAAACAGATCAAAGTCTGAGCGTTTATGATCTACCTCCAATCGTTATTAAGGATGTTGTGGTTGCACTTCTGACCAAGAAATATTGGCATTTGCTGTAAGTTGCCTTTGAAATTTAAAGTCGTATTGTTTATTGAGATGAGCAGAATTGCGTCGTTTGATTATTTATTACTTTTGTCCTTTTCAATTCATTGTATTAATCTTTACTCATTTTGATAACTCTGAAATTTAATGATATATAGGCTTTCGTAACCATATTTTTGAGTTTGTATACCACTATATTTAAAATGTAGAGCTTGATAGTTTTACTAAAGAGTATGTGCAGCACAAGATATCTTTTGTTTAATTTTGTCTTCTTGTTTTTGGAGCGAACGGTTGCTTTTATTTCGTGTATTTTTCCAGTACTCCACTTCAGTCTCGACGATTAAATGGCTCATTGAATCGTGTGCCAATTAATTTTTATGACAGTGTGTGGAAAATCCTAGAACGTACGCAAGGCGGTATTGTCATTGCTGGACGAAATCTGCCCCAAGTTATTCATATATAGTTTTTAATTATTGTTAGTATCTGAAAAGTGTGCAACCTTTACCGACTGTAAAACTTTCCATTATACATTTATCTATATAAGTGGTATAAGTTAGTACAAGTATTTATTTTTTCAAGCAACCAACCCTGAGCGATATGACCCAGTTCGAGCTTACCTTTGCATATAAAATTGAATCAATGCTAAGTGTCATCGGACATCCAGAATACCGTCATGTCCTTGTCGAGGTGTGCTAATATTGACTTCATATATCTGAACAAGTTTGTATAATAAATAAACTTTTGGTGAACTTCTAAAATATTCGCGTTGACCAATTTTTTTATTTCACTGCTCAAGAACATATCTTCCAAGGCGTTATCTTTTTAACCAGAACAGTTCGTTTCAGTTACTATGTATTATCGCAATTATTTTGGAACGAAACTGCGAATTGATATTCAGTGATAAACTTGACTTAGATCAGGTTTTTTAATTCGTTTCCAAGGCTAAATTCCTTTCAGTTTTTTCATTTGCATCAACATTATCTAGAAGAATCTGTTTCAGCTTATTTTCTCAGCTTTTCGGTTGTACTGTTCAGAGAATGGAATTAGAGACATGGACGACATGACCCCGTTCTATGAGCTGGACAATTCTGATTTCACTAAGAATTCATCGGCCAACTACCTTACGCGGGTATATCAAATTTCTATTTTGTTTTATTGGTATGATCGTAGATTGAAAATGTGTATTTCCTCAGCTAGAAATTTTCAGAGTGTGGTAGACTGTATGCTTAGTGGGACATTACTGAATAGGCGTAACACTTCGACCTTTATGTCAGGCGACTCTCTTCGTCTGACACCCATGTTCTTATCTGAACGATCTGATGACCAAGGATATAGCAGTTGTTCAGTGAGCTGATTAGAAACCGCTATATGGTGCCAAGGAAATAAGAGATGCTGAGTAGATATAGCGCTTGTTAGGAGAATCTTCCTTTTCTTTCCTGCAGATTGTGGCATGTTCCGGTTAGTAGTAGTGTATATCGTCAACTGTCACTTAGTGTTCTTTGGTTTTTGTGATCTGAACTAGTCCGCCTTTTATGCTACGTATTGCATAGAATGTGTGTACAAAACAAATAGCTTCGTTGGTATCTCTAATAAACTACTTTACATTATCGATCTCTTAAGCTGATCCGGAAGATTGGGCCACATGCGCGAATGAAATTATATCTCTAGATAACTGTCCTTCAACACTAGTCTTGTTGCAGCTGACAGAACGCGTCCAAATGTAAAGTGAGCCATTTTTTGGTGGAGTGAAACGCTGTAAAATTGTTCCTGCAAGTATGTACCAGTTATGTAAAGTACAAAACCAATCCCATACTAGAAATTAGGATGTTGCATACAAAATCAATATTACGCCCTCAGTATGTAGTCATGTGAACAGTGCAGGACATTTTATTAGAACAAAAAATTACACAGGATGCATGGTTGTGTAGTACAAACAAGCAATTTTCAATCGAATGAAATAAGGAGTTCTTCTACTGATCCCACAGCATGTGACTGCGACCGAGACTGAGATTCCACAGTCGTCTGGGGTTGCGCAGCGTACTGCACATTTGGAACAGCATGGTGCATTAGTGTTTCATCTGAATGTCGTTTGCAACAAAAATTAAATGGAAGTGAAACGAAACCTGTTAAGAGAAGAAGTACCATTGCTGTAATTGACTGGGCTTAAGAAGCAGAAGCTCGAAGTCAACTTATTCTTCACTCATTAAATAGATGGAATTGTTTCTAAACGTTCAAAGTAGTTGACATGCAAATCATAATTTAAAGGAATATGTGAGGTCTATAATAAATAGTAATTTAGCTCTGAATTATACTAACTCGAAGAGAGGTATGACGGATACGCTGGCATTAACTGCGTGATGTGCTGTGCCGTAGGTAGTGGTAGAACTGGTGGCACATTTGTCTGAATAAAAGTCGAGACATGCTGATCGGGAACTTTTGGTAGATCAACGTTTGATGTGAATGGAACCTGTTGTTGTCCTACGGAATGATTGAAAGAATGATGATTCACTGGCGACTGCAATTCATCGAAAGTTGGAAGTCAAAATATGTGAAACAGTCAATACTAAAGCTCATTATGTGATTGATTCTTTGTGAATATGAGATGATCTATATTTTCACATCAACAGATCTACAAAAAGATATTCACCAGATGTACGGAGTAAGCCAAAGGAACGGTTGATTGTATAGGAGAAACATTATGAGTTCCGGGTGGCTGTAAAGAAGACTGTGAAACGCTTAACTGGTAATTTGTTGGCAGCGCATCTTGTTTAAGAAATTCCTGCTGGTGCAAATTACTATTCAATACCACCTAAAAATTTCAATAGACGGCCAAAAATAAGATGGAGAGACAACCTGAATCATATCTAACATAGCATCTACTTAATGATGCGGTTTCATGACATGATCAAAAAAAATGAAAAATGATCACCTGATCACCATAAGATGACATATGTGCGTAACTTGTCATATTTAGATCATCTTTTACTACCATAGCTTCGCGCAGCGTTTGCGTTTCATTTGTATAATCCTGCGTTACAGTGCTAACTGGTATACTGAAAGCTGCATGACCCTGATCTACATACACATTAGACGGATAACCTAAAATGAAATTTCCAATGGAACTGTTATTTGAAGGGAGTAACGTCTATGATAACATATACAATGAATTTTTTGATATCAATAATGATAGATTTATACTATTTCAATGATAATCAATCACACAGGAATCTAATAAAGTGCGATCAGTGATAATTTGCTGTCACAGTAGTAGAAACTTTATATATCTTTTTGATAATTCCATAAAGTTTTGACTTTATTTTATTTAAAAAAAAAGTTCTAAATAAGTCTGACTTTTCATTACAGTTTGATTTCGTTTCTCAACAATAAATCCATGAAACTTAAGTTCAATGGAAAAAAACATATCTATGACGTAATGTTGGCCAGGTTCCGCCTCTATCTGGTTATAAGATACGTTTGAGGGCTGTACAGGAAGATTAATCTGGCTATTCTGCCTCATCGACTGCATGCGCTTCAATTGCAGTTCATGTTCTTGTTGCTGAAAGCGTAACAACGCCATTTCGCGTTGATGCAATATCATTTCCTGGAAAATAATTGTTCATTCCAGACCTCAATAAAAGAAAATGTAAAACAGAAGTCACCTTAACATAGATAAATGTAGCCTGAAAGAAAGTGATCACTATGCAAGTTCATTAATATTTACTGTGGGTTAACTGACCAATAAACGATTACAAAGATCTGATAGTCACGAAGTAACTAACATGCTTTTTTTGTCTCATTAAATCCACCTTCTGCTGCATTTGAATTTGCTTCAAGCGTTGTTCTTCCATAATTTTTGCTTGTCTTCGCCGTTCATGATCCTCTCTTAAAGAATCCATAGCTTGTCTAGCTTCCTGGATATGAGCTAAATTGTCTTGAAGAGATTCAAAATGGTCTGAAAGAAGCATCATTTTCTATTAGTCATGCAGAGTCCTAATCTACAAATTCATATAAATTAACTATTATCATTTTCACAGACATTGTCACCTTTCATCTCAAAACAGTTACAGTTAACAGAGAACAACAAATCTTAGAATATGCTGCCCAAGAAAACTAACTTCTCTGATCCTCTAGCTTATTTATGCGTGTCATTACTTGAGCATGCATCTCAGTTAGCCGGATGAAAAGTGACTGTATTGCTGTATCGTTGACAACAGAACGATTTCTAGCGAGATTTGATCGAATTCGATTATCCATTACAGTAACCTCAAAACGTAATACCTATCTACACTGACAATGAAAAGACACTATTTTCGATTGAAAAAGTATGTTTTGTCTAAAAATTTCATAATATACTATGATCTTGGAGCGTAGCTTCAGATTTTTATAAAACTTGACTATTTCATTCTCGAGATGAAAAAAAAAAAAAAAAAAAAAACTAAATACCTGCTCTGCTAACTGTCTGCAAAATTCCATAGTTTCTGCTGTTTCTTCTTCTTCGGCCGTGATAAACTGAGATGCTGGAGTTGCATCGCAATCGGGATGTTTTGCGGTAGTAGTAAAAGAAGGTGAAATTATAGAAGAAGCTCCATCTCGATCTTGATACAGCGCACAACGCGATGATTCACTTGGTGGTGGCGCCGTCGGTGTTGGCATTTTTTGGTGATCAACAATTACCTAAAATAACCTGCTAATTGGTACGTACGCAAAACTATTTTGAAAAAACTAAGAAGATCAAGAATATAAAAGATCGAGGACATGCACGTCTTTTCAGCTGTATGAATATCATACGATTTTGTATATGGCTTATAAAAACGTAGTTTTCATCTACCAAAACTACGATTTTCTAACTTTTGATAAGCGCAAATGAAAGAGATACAGATGATGCCGTATGCTGCTCATTTTTTCTGTTTTGCCAGTAATCTCTGTTTAAATACCTCGCCAATTCCGGATCGACAGAAGACATACTCAAGGATGGATCACCTCCTGAATGATTTTGTAAAGACCTCAATGTAAATATTGTTTCACTAAAACTGTGACTTGTCTACTGAATGAGATATTTCTATAACTGTAACCAAAATAGATGAAGCTTTGTAACAATTTATGAGCAACAAAAAATATTATTCTTGACAGAAATCATATGAAACTTTATCTGATTTCTATTTTTAAAGAAAATGTAATTAATTATCTATCAGACAGTACCTTTGCATGCTGATTTACTAGGTTCTTCATTGAAGGGACCATCAGTTTTAATACATTTTAGAATGTCTGCACCATTGTACAAGTCATACAGACGACGCTGCCTGTCACGCTCCTATAAAAAAATTTTTTCCATACACTGGAATGTCACGTAAATTCTATTATTATTTTCGACAATACAGCTTCGAATCGTTGAAACACAGTTCCAACATTTACCAGACAGCAAAAACTGTCTAATGTGAGCTCATATTAAACAAAATTAAGATATATATAAGTTAAAACACTCCGTAATAAAGAAAAGAATAACCTGTGCTTCAGCTTCTGACTGACTCAGTGCAATAGCTAAATTCATTTGCTCTTCTTCTGTTTGTTTCAATTCACGAGCTTGTTGCTCAGCTATCTTTTGTGCATCAACAGCAAAAGATTTGTTATTTCTAAACGATGATAATACCGAACTAGATGAGCCAACTACATCAACTTTTCTTGTTACTTTGTCATAACATCCATCGCAAACTCGTACCTGAAATTCTAAAAATTACTATCAATTAAGCCAAAACATAAGCCACTAAAAGCAGAACGAACCAAAGCAAAAGACACAATTCTTAAAAAGTTTTTCAAAACGTTCGTATTAGTAAAGAATATGCTCTTACCTGCTTTTCTATGCCATACTGAGGTAAGAAGCTTTGCTTGCTACTGCATTTATCGCAAAAAATTTGCCCACAAGCACGACAATGATGTTTTCGCGTAATAATTCCGAAAGCTGTTCGGCACCTATAATAATAATAATATGAATGCACCATACGAGACTGTAAATTATTTTAAAAATTTACTTGCAACAGCTGCAATAAAAATGAAAAAATTTAGAGCATTTATTAGACCTGAAACATTCTTCTCCATCTGCCCATTCTGGGGCACTTTCGGCAATGAACATTGCATCTGCTTCAGTAACACGTGGAAAGTCAAAACCCGCCAACTTCATTAAATTGTGCGTATCGACTACTATTTTATATTCTGGTTTGTTTTTGAAAGCCATCGCCCAACATTGAAGTAATTCTAGTATCTTATTCTTGACCTACATAAATTTATATATATATATATATATATATAT